CCACTTTCTAAAACTACCAACATAAACTCTTCGAAACCATTCAAGCATCACAGAAATGTTGAAGCCATTTAAGCACTGTTATACTAGTTGAAAATGCTCCATTTTATTCTAGTCAGAAACACTTCGTTTTGTTAAAATAAACAAAGTTCATACATATATCAGTGTCTCCAGACTTATTATTATTGATTATAGTTTTACAAGCCGCTACAGAAAAAACGCCAACGCATATTTAACTGAAACATGGACAATAGTAACCAATGCAATAATGAGTATGACATACGGTAGTTTAAAATTAATTCAAATGCCTTTGTTTTTTTTCGCCCTGAAGAATTTCTATAATTCCTTCACTGTCCGCCATTGAAAAAATCGGGTGTTTTATTAATGTGTATTAATTGGAAAATAATTTAAGCAACTCATAGCACATTAATTGGGAACTGCCACGTTGAGGATTCATCATTTCTCGAGTTAGCTGTTGTACTTTGCCTCTACGTGGTTTTATGCGACTATTTCTAACAGTAGACGATTACCATAGTATATGTCTCTACTCTTGTGAGTGGTAATTTACTCTACTGATTTATGTACTTCTCTTGTTAAACGTGTGTTTACACGAAACCACAGACACAAAACTACCTGACTCAGTAAATAATGGTTGTGTGGAAAAATAGCAAATGCAGCGGTAAACTGTTGCAAAACATGTAACGTTCAACCGGATGCATATGCACGTATGTAGCTTAAAATATATTCTCCATAAATGGACATAAAAATTAAGAAACAAGAAAATTAATAATATAAAAAAGGGAATAATGGAGCGTCAAAAAAGTACAGAAACAAATTGAATTAAATTGCAAATATTATATTTTCAAGCCTACATCTAGGGACTCTAAAAAAGTAAACAAACTAGGCTGGAAATAGTGTCGACATTATTTTCTCAAGCTACAAATCCCTATTTTGGTTCCACTAAAATTGATAAGTACTGTAGACATGTACAACAATCAAACAGAAAGATATTTCTTTACTTACTTACAGCAATCAAACTAAAAGATACTAGAGTGAAAGATACTCCTTAACTTAATTACAACAATCAAAGAGAAAGTTTCCCCTTTACTTAGGTACAACAATCAAACAAAAATATACCAGAGTGAAAAATACCCCTTTACTCAGTTACAATAATCAAACAAAAAGATACACTTTTACTTAGTTACAATAATCAAACAAAAAGATACCCGTTTACTTAGTTACAACAATGAAAGAGAAAAATACCCCTTTACTTTGCTACAACAATCAAACAAAAAGATACCAGAGTGAAAGATACCCTTTACTTAGTTACAACAATCTAACAAAAAGATACCCCTCAACTTATTTACAACAATCAAACAGAAAGATACCCCTTTACTTAGGTAAAATTGATAAGTACTGTAGACATGGAGTCAAAATACAGATTTGTAGCTTGAGAAAATAATGTAGACTCTATTTCCAGCCTAGTTTGTTTACTTTTTTTTAGAGTCCTTAGTTGTAGGTTTGAAAATATAATCTTTGCAATTTGATTCAACTTGTTTCCTGAATTTTTTTGACAATCCCAATTCCCCTTTTAAATGAACAATTTTTAATTGTCTTGTATATATACGAGTTTGCGGACTTTAGAAAGAAAAGAAGGTTGAGCTCTAGTAAAAACTTCATCTTAAAGAATGAAAATCATTTCGAGCACCCCTTTGTCCCCCGATGGGACAGCGGTAAGTTTACGGACTTACAACGCTTAAATCCAGGGTTCGATTCCCTGCTGTGGACACAGAGCAGATAGCCCACTGTGGCTTTGCTCTAAAACAAACATATCTAGTTCCCTACCGTACAACAGTTGAAAGCTGTGTAAAAAAAATTAATATTTACGTATTATTACCCCGACCACCATTCAAGACAACGATACTTCCAGTGTTATCTTCGAAAAATATTTTTAAACAAAACTATATATATTTTTCTGCTTGTGACAAGTTTTTTCATACACCTGAATCTAACATAGCAATATCATTGTTATCCCACTCGAATGTAAAAACACTTCAAAATCTGGAATCAGCTATTACTTCATTAGTGTTTTTATTAAGTGCTGATTTAATTTACTTTATTTTCTCTATATACATTGTAACCTAGTAGGCCTAATAATCAATAGTTTTGTAAACTTGAATGTGGCGTTTCTCGGACATTCGATTTCAGAAGAAGAAGACATCCCCTTTCCACTGTCAGCACATAAAACTTTATAGCAAGACCTTTAAATCGGTTTCATTTTCGTATATAAATAGAAAAATTAAATATTAATGTATTTCGAAATTGTCACTGACGTGACCTTTTGTGAACCTTGAGAAAAAAATCCATAGATCTGTTTGTAAGGTTCAAATAAAATCCCAATTCGAGTCTGTCCGAGGGTAAAACAGAACATTTACCAGTCAGTTTTTTAAATACACGACAAAACCCTGACTCAAGCGTGTCTGAGAATAAAACAGAACCTTGATTCAATATTTTAATACATAACAAAACCATGATTCAAGCGTGTCTGAGGATAAAACAGAACTTTTACTAATCAATCTGTAAAGACCTAACAAAACCCCGATTCGAATGTGTCCGAAAAGAACTTTGACTCTTCAGTCTGTGAAAACCTAAGAAAACTCTAATTCGAGTGTGTCCGAGAAGAAGTTTGGCTAGTCAGTCTGTAAAGACCTAACAAAACCATAACTAGAGTGTGTGTCTGTGAAGATCAAATCGGAACTGCCTTGTATGACTGTCAAACCCAAACAAAACTTTGACTCGTGTGTATGCGAAGTTGTAATAACATTTCTACTTTTTTTGAGAAACATTAACGACTCGAAGATCTATTTCAATTTATATTATTGAAAACTCAGTGCAATGTTTCAATTTTAGATACTGAAAACGCAATGCTTTGTTTGAATTTTAGATTCTTACTTCTATTCGAGAGAGCACTAAAGTCTCAAAATACTTTTTAACTCTAGTTAGAGAAGTACTAAAACACAGTTCGAACTTGAGGTACAGAAGAGTAACTGAAACACAACTTTGAGTGTTCAATACCTAAAAGTCAAACAAAGAAAATTAAAATGTATATAAAATTCAGAGAAAAGCTGCACTTGTCTGTTTGTGATTTCAAGCAGAGTTTGAAGACCAAATATAATCTTGAGGCGTCCTAACATAATTTTTAAAGTTCAAATAGCAACTTGGTGAACATATGGGCTCATTTGCCTATGTTTGTGGTTATATCAAGTCCACTAGTCTTAATGATTTCTAACTATAAAAAACAACAACAAATTTTCACTTATTTGACATTCATTCAACATCTGGAAAATATCCCAAATTTTAGAGGAAACCTCTCCACCTTGGCATATAAAATTTGCTTTGGTTTTTAAAAGTAAATATTAATATATCCTAGAAAAGGGATATTTTTGTCATAATTATAAAACAAATATTCAGTCTTAGACAACATGAACTCGTGATTGGATGAAACTCAAACGGTTTTATAAGACTCTGAGAAAAAGGCTCGTTTGTCAGCTCATGTTTGGCTTTTTTGTAAACAGCCTAGCTTAGTGGCTAACACAAGATATCCTAATGTCTTAAATAAAAACCGGATCCACAGAAAATGTCAGAGTCAAAATCAAGGTTGGTAAGGGCCAGTGGCGAACCAATCACCAGTTCAATGACCGTATTCCTAAAATAGATTTTTCCGAATCACACGTACAGGTAAATAACCCATCGTTATGTACTAGTTGATCAAACGATAAGTACTCTAGATGTTACTAGAATATAGATCATTTGTAAAGCTAAGCCATTTATACTAAAATAAATTGTAAATAGTCACATTGTGTACATTACACATCCTTTAACTAATCTGAATAACAAATGTTAACGTTTCTAAAAAAGAAAACAACGAAAACACTTATTTTGATTTAAAAAAAAACCGTTTGACCACAATGGTTCAGTGGTAAGACTAAAGGCTTATAACTCTAAAAAACGGGTTTCGATACCCGTGGTGAGCACAACACAGATAGCCCATTGTGTAGCTTTGTGGTTAACTACAAACAAACAAATAGCCGTTTGTTTCCTTAGCATCTTGAATTAAGAAACCAAGTACAGTCTGGTATTCAAACAAACAGAAACCGCGTTGTTGTTAACCCTTTTTTTAAATACCAAATACGGTTGTAGTTAAGCTACACATTGGGCTATCTGTGCTCTGCCCAATACGGGTATCGAAAGCCGGTTTTTAGCGTTGGAAGTCCGCAGACATACCGCTGTGCCACTGGGGGACCCAAATACAGTATATCGGGTAGTGTATTTATTGGTTTTAAAAACTCGCCGTGCTGATTACAAGTAGGTCACAATTTTTAATTCAGCAGAGGCTGAGCCAAAGTGGGGTAAAGTCGGATGACTACCTCCGTATGCTAAAAGGTCCAGTTGTGTTTTTGCAATTTCAAAACTTTTAATGCTAAAAACTATATGATCGAAAACCTAGAATTATGTTTTTCCAACAATCTTTTTGCATTTTTAGTAGGCCTCCGCAAGTTTTATTGTATCAAACTGACTTCGCCATGTTTCAAAAAAAGTTTTTTTTTCCATTTGGAATAAAATGAATTTAAAGATGTAGGAGAACTTGGTAGAATTTGCATGTTTAGTAAGATTGACATGTCTTTCAGTTTTCTTAAGACGTCTAATCTTACATCTTCTTCTCTGAAACATTACCAATTTAAATCAGGAGTGTATATCAGACAGTAAGAATATACTGATGATATTTAACTTCATGTATTCATGCATGGTGCGTTTAGGTAGAAACTGATATTGAATTTAAAGGGCATATAACGCAATAAAAAGTCATGTTTTTTAAACATCAAACCAAAATACCGAATAGCTATTCTTTTTCTCAGAAACACAAATCACCTGCCCTCCAGTGGCACAGCGGCATGTCTGCGGACTTACAACGCTAGAATCCGGGTTTCGATAACCATGGAAAGCAGAGCACAGATAGCCCATAGTGTGGCTTTGTGCTTAATTACAAACAAACAAACAAAACACTAATCAAACAGAAAGATACCCTTTCAATCAGTTATATAATGAAACAGAAAGATACTCCTTTACTTAGTTACAATGATCAAACAAAAAAAGATAGGAGAATAAAAGATACCCCCTTACTTAGTCACAATAATCATACAAAAAGATACTTCTCTACTGAGTTACAACGATCAAACAAAAAATACCACAGTGAAATATACCCTTTACTTAGTTATATCAATCAAACAAAAGATACCATAGTGAAAGATACCCCTTTAATTAGTTACATTAATCAAACAAAAATGTATCCATTTATAAAGTTAAAATAATGAAACAGACAGATACACTTTTACTTAGTTACAACAATCAAACAAAAATATACAAAAGTGGAAAATACTCCTCTACTTAATTACAATAATCATACAAAACGATACCAGAGTGAAAGATACCCTTTAACTTAATTACAATAATCAAACAAAAAGATACCAGAGTTAAATATACCCCTTTACTTAGTTACAATAATCATATAAAAATATACCCCTTTACTTAGTTACAACAATCAAAGAGATACCCCTTTATTTATTTAAAACAGTCAAACAGAAAGATACTCCTTTACTTAGCTACAACACTCAACCAAAAAATACCAGAGTGAAAGATACCCTTTACTTAGTTACAACAATCAAACAGAAAGATACCCTTTAGTTAGCTACAAAAATCAAACAAATAGATACCAGAGTGAAAAATACCCTTTACTTTGTTCCAACAATCAAACAGAAAGATACCTTTTTTCTTAGCTACAACAATCAAACAGTATGATACCCCTTTACTTAGATACAACAATCAAACAATAATATATCAGAGCAAAATATATCCCTATACTTAGTTACAAAATTCAAACAAAAAGATACCCCTTTACTTAGTTACAATAACAAAACAAAAATATACCCATTTACTTAGTTACAACAATCAAATAGAAAGATACTCCTTTACTTAGTTACAACAGTCAAACAAAACTATATCAGAATAAAATATACCCCTATACTTATTTGCAATAATCAAAGAAAAATGTACCCCTTTACTTAGTTACAACAATAAAAAAATTATATCAGAGTAGAAGACACCCCTATACTTAGTTACAATAATCAAAGGACAAGGTATCCCTTCACTTAGTTACAACAATCAAACAGAATTATATCCCTTTACTTAGTTACAGCAATCAAATACAAAGATACCAGAGTAAAAGCTACCCCTTAACTTAGTTACAACAATCAAAGAGAAAATTACCCTTTTACTTAGCAACAAAAATCAAACAAAAAAGATACCAAAGTGAAAGATACACTTTTACTTAGTTACAATAATCAAACAAAAAGATACCTCTATACTTATTTACAAGAATCAAACAGTAAGATACCCCTTTACTTAGTTACAACAATCAAACAGTAACATACCCCTTTACTTAGTTACAACAATGAAAGAGAAAGATACCAGAGTGAAAGGTACCACTTTACTTAGCTACAACAATCAAACAAAAAGATACCCCTTTACTTAGTTACAACAATCAAAGATAAAGATACCAGAGTGAAATATACCCCTTTACTTAGTTACAACAATCAAAGATAAAGATACCAGAGTGAAATATACCCCTTTACTTAGTTACAAAAATCAAAAAAAATATACCCCTTAACTTATTTACAAGAATCAAACAGTAAGATACCCCTTTACTTAGTTACAATAATCAAACAAACAGGTACCTCTTTACTTAGTTACAACAATCTAACAGAAAGATATCCCTTTAATTAGTTACAGCAATCAAACAAAAATATACCAGAGGGAAATATACTCCTTTATTAATTGCAATGATCAAACAAAAAGATACTCCTTTACTTAGTTACAACAATCAAACAGAAAGATACCCATTTACTTAGCTACAACAATCAAAGAGTAAGATACCTCTTTACTTAGTTACAACAATCAAATAATAAGATACCCCTTAATACAACAATAAAATAATAAGATACCCCTTAATACAACAATCAAAGAAAAATATACCAGAGTGGAGGATACTCCTTTGCTTTGTTCCAACAATCAAACAGAAAGATATACCTTTGCTTAGCTACAACACTCAAACAAAAATATACCAGAGTGAAAGATACCTGTATACTTAGTTACAACAATCAAATTGAAAGACACCCCTTTATTACTTAACAGAAAGATATCCCTTTGCTTAATTAGAGCAATCAAACAAAAAGATACCAGAGTAAAAGATACCCCTATACTTAGATACATCAATCAAACAAAAACGTACCATATTACTTAATTACAACAATCAAACAGAAAGATACCCCTTTACTCAGTTACAACAATCAAACAAAAATATACCAGAGTGAAAGATACCCCTTTACTTAGTTGCAATAATAAAACAAAAATATAGCCCTTTACTTTGTTACCATAATCAAACAGAAAGATACCCCTTTACTTAGTTACAATAATCAAAGGAAAAGGTACACCTTTACTTAGTTACAGCAATCAAATAAAAAGATACCAGAATGAAAGCTACCCCTTAACTTAGTTAGAACAATCAAACGGAAAATTATCCCTTTAATTAGCTACAGCAATCAAATAAAAATATACCAGAGTTAAAAATACCCCTTTACTTAGTTACAATAAACAAACAGAAAGATATTTCTTTACTTACTTACAGCAATCAAACTTAAAGATACCCCTTAACTTAGTTACAACAATCAAAGAGAAAGTTTCCCCTTTACTTAGCTACAACAATCAAACAAAAATATACCAGAGTGAAAGATACCCCTTTACTTAGTTGCAATAATCAAACAAAAATATAGCCCTTTACTTTGTTACCATAATCAAACAGAAAGATACCCCTTTACTATGCTACAACACTCATACAAAAAGATACCAGAGTGAAAAATACCCCTTTACTTAGGTACAACAATCAAACAGTAAGATACCCCTATACATAGTTACAACAATCAAACAATAAAATACCCCTATACTAAGTTACATCAATCAAACAAAAAGGTACCCTATTACATAGTTACAACAATCAAACAGAAATATATTTATTTATTTACTTACAGCAATCAAACTAAAAGATACCAGAGTGGAAGATACCCCTTAACTTAGTTACAACAATCAAAGATAAAGTTTCTTCTTTACTTATCTACAACAATCAAAAAAAATATTCCAGAGTGAAAGATACCCCTTTACTTAGTTGCAATAATCAAACAAAAATATAACCCTTTACTTTGTTACAATAATCAAACAAAAAGATACTCCTTTAATTAATTACAACAATGAAACAAAAAATACCCCTTTACTCAGTTACAATAATTAAACAAAAAGATACCCTTTTTCTTAGTTAGAACAATTAAACAGAAAGATACCCGTTTACTTAGCTACAACACTCAACAACAACAAAAAATACCAGAGTGAAATATACCCCTTTAATTAGTTAACAAAATCAAACAAAAATATACCCATTTACTTAGTTACAACAATCAAACAAAAAGTTACCCCTTTACTTAGTTACAACAATCAAACATAAAGATACCCCTTTACTTAGTTACAACAATCAAACAAAATATACCACTTTACTTAGTTACAATAATGAAACAGAAAGATAACCCTTTACTCAGTTACAATAATCAAACAAAAAGGTACCCCTTTACTTAGTTACAACAATAAAACAGAAAGATATCCATTTACTTAATTACAGCAATCAATTAAAAATATACCAGAGTGAAAGATACTCCATTACTTAGTTACAATAAAAAATATAACCCTTTACTTAGATACAACAATCAAAATAAAAGATACCCTTTACTTAGCTACAACACTCAACAACAAAAAAGTACCATTGTGAAATATACCCTTTTAATTAGTTAATAAAATCAAACAAAAATATACCCATTTACTTAGTTACAATAATCAAACAAACAGATACCCCTTTACTTAGCTACAACAATCAAACAGTAAGATACTCCTTTACTCAGTTACAACAATCAAACAAAATTATATCATTTTACTTAGTTACCGTAATAAAAAAGATACCCCTTTACTTAATTACAATAATCAAAGAAAAAGATACCCCTTCACTTGGTTACAACAATCAAACAAAAAGATACCTCTATACTTAGTTACATCAATCAAACAAAAATACCCTATTACTTAGTTGCAATAATCAAACATAATGATATCCCTTTTCTTAGTTAAAGAAATCAAACAAAACGATACCTCAATGAAATATACTCCTTTACTTAGCTACAAATATCAAACAGGAAGATATCCCTTTACTTAGTTACAGGAATCAAACAAAAAGATACCAGAGTGAAATATTCCCATTTATTTAGTTACAATGCTCAAACAAATAGATACTCTTTGCTTAGTTACAACAATCAAACAGAAAGATACCCATTTATTTAGCTAAAACAATCAAAAGGTAAGATACCCCTTTACTTAGTTACAATAATCAAAGAATAAGATACCCCATTACTTAGTTTCAACAATCAAAGAGAAAGATACCAGAGAGAAAGATACCCCTTTACTTTGTTACAAAAATCAAACAAAAATATACCCATTTATTTAGTTACAATAATGAAACAAAAAGATACCCCTTTACTTAGCCACAACAATCAAACAGCAAGATACCTCTTTACTTAGTTACAACAATCAAATGAAATTATATCATAGTAAAAGATACCCCTATATCTTTCACTCTGGTATCTTTTTATTTGATTACTGTAATTAAGTAATTTTTGTTTGATTGTTGTATCTAAGTAAAGGGGTATCATACTGTTTGATTGTTGTAGCTAAGAAAAAAGGTATCTTTCTGTTTGATTGTTGGAACAAAGTAAAGGGTATTTTTCACTCTGGTATCTATTTGTTTGATTTTTATAGCTAAACAAAGGGTATCTTTCTGTTTGATTATTGTAACTAAGTAGAGGGGTATATTTTGTTTGATTGTTTCAACTATGTAAAAGGGTATCTTTCACTCTGGTAT